CAGGCACCATGATATAGCAAAATCGCGAATCTTCAATGCATATATAAAGAAATATACGGTAACCCGAATTTACCACACTCGCAAAATCGCACACAGCCAACCATACACCTAGTATGGTATCGCGATTCGCGATTTTGCGCTATCATACTGGGTGTATGATCGGCTGTGTGCGATTTTGCGAGTGTGGTAAAATCGCATAACAGCAAAATCGCATAACAGCCGAGCATACACCCAGCAGCGCTGCGCTGCTGAGAACGGTATGTGGAATGAAGTGGGCGGGCATCGGGAGGCCACTATGGCACGGGGCAAGCACTATGGGCAGTCTATCTGAAGTGTACCTGGCGTATAAGACGACCCCCCACTTGGAGGCATATTTTTCAGGGCCAAAAAATCGTCTTATACGCCGGCAAATACGGTAATATAAAATATATACATGCATTTTAGTGTGAAATCTCATTTCTGGGAATCTATCCTATAAATATAAAAGTATACATACAAAGGTGTTCTTTAAAGCACTCACGATAGTTAATACTGAATGCCCATCAAGAGAGTAATTCTTCAAGCTATCAAAGAGAGCAGTTAAATCTCCATTTATGAATCTGAAAATATTACCATCATGTGGGGTTTTTTAATGAGAAGAAGGAAAAGAGAGAGAGAGAAGAGAGAGAGAGAAACATCAATTGGTTGCATTCTATATACCTGGACCGGGGATCAAATTGATAACCTGGGTATGTGCCCTGACTGGGAATCAAGCCCAAAACCTTTCAGTGTCTGTGCAATGCTCCAGCCAACTGTTCCACACCAGCCTGGGCCATATATTGTTAACTGTGGGAAATAAAATGTAGAGTGTGACTCATTTTTGTGGAAGAAGTAGCTCAAACCATATGAAGCAATCCTATTAACAGAAAGGAGTGGGCAAGCGGAAATAGTAGATATTGACATTGGTTATCTGTCTTGAAATGGGGATGTGGATAGAAAACAAAAGGGAGAAAAGGAATACATTACGTACTCTAGATGCATGGACACCAAAAGTCCTATTACAGGAAACACTCTAACTATCCCTGACCACTGGAATGTCTCACAAGAAGGGCCTTCTGTGCTGCCAGTGTGGCTCAGTGGTTGAGCATGGACCTGTGAACCAAGAGGTCACCTTTTTTTTAATATATTTTATTGATTTTTTACAGAGAGGATGGGAGAGGGATAGAGAGTTAGAAACATCGATGAGAGAGAAACATCGATCAGCTGCCTCCTGCACACATTCTACTGGGGATGTGCCCGCAACCCAGGTACATGCCCTTGACCAGAATCGAACCTGGGCCTTTCAGTCCGCAGGCTAACGCTGAGCCAAACCGGTTAAGGCAGGAGGTCACCTTTTGATTACCATCAGGGTACATGCCAGGTCTATAGGCTCAATCCCCAGTAGGGGTATGCAGGAGACAGCTAATGGATGATTCTCTCTCATCACTGATGTTTCTATCTCTCTCTCCCTCTCCCTTTCTCTCTCTGAAATCAACAGAAAGTATATTTACCCCTAGCCAGTTTGGCTCAGTGGATAGAGCGTCAACCCTCGGACTGAAGGGACTCTGGTTCGATTCCCAACAAGGACACCTATCTCCATTGCAGGCTCTAGTCAGGTCCCAGTCCAGCCAGGTGCCTGTGGGAGGCAATCAATCAATGTGTTTCTCTCTCCCCTTCCAATCTTGCTAAAAAGCAATGGAAAAAATATCCTCACCCTTTGGGTGAGGATTGAAAAAAAAAAGAAGTAATATAAAGTACCTTATTTTACAGAG